AATTGGAAATCTAGATGGATAAAGAGCAGCAACGGGCCAGAGGAAAAATACTAAAATGAAATTTAGCAATGAGCTGTCACTTTAAGCAATGTCTATATTGACATGACAGTGTCACACAGTTGCTGCAGATTTATTGGCTGCACTTCCTTGATGCAAATCTCACATGCTATTGGATTGAGATCTGGTGGCTGTTGAAGCCATTTGAGTGCAGTGAACTTTTTGCCATGTTCACGAAACAGGTTTGAAATAAACAAAACTTTGTGACGTGATGCTTTATTCTGTAGCCATTAGAACATGGGGACGCTGCGGTCAAAGAAGGGTTGGGCATAGTCAGCAACAGTACTCAGGCAGGCTGCGGTATTTAAATGATGCTCATTTGATACTAAGCGGCTCAAAGTGTGACAAGAAAAAATCCCCCACACCACTGCACCAGCAGCTGCAGATTGAACTGTTGATACAATGCATGATGGGGCCATACTTTCATGTTGCTTACATCAAATTCTGGCTCTACCATCTGAAGCAGAAACAGAATAATCTTCAGCATTTTCAAATCATCTATTGTCCAGTTTTAATGAAGAAAAAAGGAAACCACTGCCATTATTGCAGTTTATGTCAAATACTGATACAGGAAAATACATTGTCAAAAATTGGACATGTGGTAGCAGCATGGTTTCAGTAATACCAGTGAACATTATGTACAGGATATACTGTTCAGAGCGAGCATTTCTTAGAAAAACAAAGGGGCCATACTAGAATCCAGAAGAGGTTGAAAATGTGTTTCCTTATAGACACTCAGTCGCTTCAACTTGACTTAATTACTGTTGTAATAGACTGAAACACATGCATATTTGCGCACAGTATGTGTGAGATATTTTCCTGCAGTAACTGTAGTTCAAGCTACTAAAGATCAACTTTTGAGATCGTGTATCTGGTCTCTGAGGTTCTGGAAAATATTTGCTGTAATTCAGAAAACAACCGTCTGCAGATCAGATTCAGCGACTGCTCTTTTGTGTGAAACTTTAAGCACAGTTGTCATTGACAATATAATTGTTCCCAGAACTTGGGGAGTGAACTCAGTACAGAGGTTGACTTCATGTAAATTTCTGATGAAACTTCTCAGTGATGATGGATATTTGTTTCGGCAGAAAGTAATAGAAAACATTAGAAGAAGAAAATCAATAAAAGAGATGGATGTGTTATACATGTTTATTTATCAAATCACAACAGAAGTCATCCATTTTCTTAACTGTTTATCCAACATCTGATAGCCGGCGAGCATACAGATCACAGCTGCACAGTTTGCCAGGGGAAACAGAGAGACAGACAACAGCATACTCCCAAATTCACAACTGCAGTCAATTTATCATTAACGGTTAACCTATTAGTCTTGATAAGAAACCCATGTAACCACAGGCAGAACAAGCAAACCCCACAGAAAAAAAGACTGCTGCTTCTAAAACCTACAAGCAGCGTTAACCCCACTGCCCACCGCTACGAAAACATTTTCTCCACTGTTTCCTTACAAAGATTTGCTCCTCATCAGTCGATTGCTGTTATAATTTGTTCAAATAAAATCTAATTTAAGTGCTTGTGAGGACAGAATTTCAGTCACTTTGACAAGCAGACAAAGAATCAACTGGTGCAGCGACATTTTAGAAACCCCTCCAAAAGGACTCGTGTGTTTTCAATAGTGTGTAATGTTGGAAAGGCAGTGTGAACTCTATATATTACCAAACGGATAATTGCACAGATAACAGAAAGTAACGTAAGAACACATAACCAGATATCACTGTATCATATTTTATATTAACACAATGAGGAAATGCTGGAAGTATTTGACAAGAAATAAAAACATTGCAGCTAAAAATATCATTAGAGTGATGGCACATGATTGCCGCATTAATTTAAACATTTTACAATCAAGTTTACTGGCAACACTCAGCAACATAAGACTTTTTAAAAAATGTCAATGTACTGTGTCTTAGCGTTCTTTCATTAAATGGGACTTGGGTTGAAAGAACTGGTGAGCTCAAGTGTCCAAACATGATGTATTGCTGAGGACAGATGAAAGAAGAAACTGACAAAAAGTAACAACAAAAGAGTGACGTGAATGAGGGAGCAGCTCTGGATGGATACTTTTTGAAAGTGTGACGGGGAGCGAACGTGTGAAGAGATAGAGGAAAAGATAGGGCGCAGACGGAAGAGGCGCCAAGAGGAATGTGACAAGAGGAAGTGGCCATACTGTCTGTTCTGTCTCTTTTCCCACAGGAGGAAACATTAAAGAGCAGAAAACACAAACATAACAATAGAAATATTAGAGTTTTTATGTGTATGTCAGACAAACACTGGTACCAGCTGTGGTTTCCTCAGTGAACTGAGTGCAGGCTCAGCTTTATGAGAGCTTTCATTTGCACGCTCGGGGTGATTGTTGTCTTCTGCAGTACAGACCGTAGGGTGGTCGGAGCATAACTGACTAAGATCCTGAATTTCAATCATGCTGCTCAAATGTTCAGCTTTATCTTCTACCAGTACGTTTGGACAAGAGGATGTTGCTCTGGGCTCTCTGACAGACATGCTCCAAAAGAGGCCATAAAAAAGGGAAGAAGCGAGTGCTCGTGTGATGCTCTCACTGCAGTGTGTTTCTTGCTTTTCATATACAGCTAAAAGTCTGAATGGGCTGACAAAAAAAAGTACTGCCCTAAAAACAGAACAAAACAGAACCCATCTGTGGTGTATATTTTTAGATGATATAATTGCTTTGGAGAAGCAATATGTATATATATTATCAGACAGAGATAAGCCACTTTGCAATTTTGAGACGCTGTTGCTCAATCAGCCTGCTGAAGCATCTTTTATCTAACTGGTTCACATCTGAGTGGTTTCAATGCGCCGCACATGTGGGAGTCTATTGTTCACGACATGTAGGTCATCATGAGCATATAAAATGACGGCTTGTGGTGATCAAGTATGAGAAATTCTCTACATGAAAGCCTTGCTGGGTACATTCTGTGGTGTGTGGGAACCTTTAGCTGCTTCCTGTTGCACACATCACCTCCTTGAGATGTAAGGTTCAGGGAAGACAGAAGACCTTCATTTGCAGCTTCAGTGGAGTTCATTCTACCCGTTTTGGTTAATGCCAGATGCCACCAGATCCGTTTACCTCGGAAGTCAGATGTCGGAACTTGGCAGTGACGTTGATGGTGTTCCAGTGGTAAAGTCAGGTAAGCAAGAAAAAATTAGATTTTGATTGCTTCTTGGCAAGGTAGAGGAAAATTTTGAATGATCAGTTCTGACTTCCAACTTCAACTGGAACACATTAAGAGTCTTAACGTAGTAAGCACACAAGGTGGCATGATGGAAGGTGCAGGATTTGACTTAATGTCATAAGTCAGTTGGGTGGCTCTTTACGAGGTAGCCTCTTTCCAAAACATTTCAGTGGCCTTATATTTGGTTGGGTATGATTACTGACACTACCACTGGTTGCATCAGAGGCATTCACGATCTTGAGCACTGGGTTGGTTTTTTATTTTGTATGTACACTGTATTTATGATTACTAGAGATCACAGATCACGTTAACAGCTTTGCACACTTATGGAGACTTACCTTGAATGCTTTAAACGCTTTCGTAGTGTTTTGTTTATATGTGACCAGTGGTGACTTGTCTGTGCTGTGATGGATCAGTGAAATGAGAAACACTGATGCACAAATATGAAGCAGCAAAGTTCATGTTCTATTGTGGGTCGTTTTCATTATGAATACAGTTCAACTGTGTGCAGCCCAGTGAAAAAGTAAGTACACCCTCAGTGCTTACTTATGAATTAAGTTGGTAAGTGGCAGCCAAGTGCTGCTAATGAAATCTGATTCATTGATCATCAACAAGTGTGAGCACCTTTATAAACACTGAGATTTTGGCAGTTTGATGGTCTGGAGCGCAACAAACCTGGATTCATTGGAAGGGCAGCCAGGAGAAAGCCTCCTGTCTCTAAAAAGAACATAGCAGCATGGTTAAAGTGTCCTTAGCTCATACCAAAGCGAAGATCTTCGGCTATATTTCACAGCACCCCGTTTGGCAAAACCAAACCCAGTATTTCTGCGCCTCAAACAATGGTGGTGGAGAGATAATGATATTTTGCAGCCACATCATCTGGGGACCTTGTGGTGTAAACGAAAGCTCAATGAACTGAACCAACACTGCAATGAAGAGTGTGCCAAAAGTCCCCCACAAGCATATGAAAGACGGATAAAGTCATTCTACAAGCTACTGAATCAAGGTGTGCACTTAGTTTTTCACAGGACTGTGTAGCGGTAGAGAAATCAAGGAAATACTTCGTGAATTGATGTCTTTTAGAAAATTCAAAATTACATAATAAAACACTTTGTTTCCCACATCCATTGCCTCTAAGTTTGTTTTAATGAGACTTCATGTAGTCCACATTGTATTAAACATTTTAATATAAAATTATAAATATTAAAATCAGCCCTGCAGTTTGGAACAAAGAAACAATCTAATTTAAGGTTTAATGCAACAAGAGACTGGTGAATGGATGTTTAGCCTTGACTTTCTGTCTGAGCATGCAAAGTGATTCTTATTATATCCTCATACTGATACTGAATGTGCAGGTTATGGGAATACAGTATAACGCCATATTCAGTTTGAATAGTGTTGCTGTTATGTTTTGCACTGCTGTGGTGCAGAAGTACAGCTAAACAGCAGCCAAATACAGAAGTCTGTGGTTTTGTTTGGCACCTCCTATGTGAGAATGTGAGGAGGGCGGTGCTGAAAAGAAGCTCAGAAAAGCTGCCCTGAATAAATAAATGTTAAAACCCTAAGGTTTCCCAGAGAGCACTGGGTGCTGTCCGGCTGTCAGTGCACTGCAGACATATGATATATAGCAAAAGCCATTCCTTGTCCTCTGATAGGCTACTATCCTGCTGTGATGTCATCGTGGCTTGCTTATAAAAAAGGCTGACAGACTCAGCTGCTTCAAAGGGGCAAGTGTGCTTGAGACCTGAAAGTGTTTATACATGTGTGGGAACAGAAACAGGGAGCGAGACAGAGCATGCGCGTGTGTGTTTGTCTGTGCATGTCAGTCGCACACTAACTCCTGAAATTAACAACTCAGCAAAAAATGAAGAAAAAGCTGCTGGCAGACACTTTATTATGAATCTTTGTGTGGTGGATTTAAAAGCTTCTGGAGTATGAAATCACTGGACTGAAGAAGAGGACAAAGTCTGGAGGTAACAATTAAAGAACACCTGAAAATTAAAGTCTGTTTTACAAAGTGCAAATCTTGCAGGCAACCTATTTGTCACGGGTGGAAGCACCACTCTCTGTGATTTATTTGGACTTTTCAAAGCAGTGAAATTAATATATATTTAAAGTAAATGCTAAGGGTTTTTCTTAAGTTTTTCTAGTTTTACAAGACTATTTGATGATGACATTGTTTAAAACATGTGCACCTAACTCTGACATCACGGGAGATTTGAAGATTACCTATCATATAATCGTTTAAATTGTCTGACAAAACCTACAGATATCATTGATTTTCTTCCTTTTCTTCCTGTTATTACGGTATCAGGACAGAAACTTGTTTATCTTTTCCTAGTAAAGCATGTGTCATTTTCACAGTTTGCTCTACCGCCATCTCATTATTTTACCGATGACAACAAAAGCTGGGTGTTCTCTCTCTCTGTGTATTTTCCACACACTTGCAGCTTCATGCTTATATTTGTGCAAGCGCTTTTGTGTATTAAGTGCTCAGTGTACTTACTATCGCCATGCTCCCTCAGCCCAAATATTGGGACTTTTACATCTCAGTAAATCTTTTGTGTTTGATTCGGTCTCGGCTGTTTAAACAGTTTTGGTTAGGGAGGCGATTGGAGTCAGTTTTCCAAGTTTGACTTGGTATTAATGTGTGCAACCACCTCCTGGAGTACTGATCCCCTCTGCAGGGGTAGTACAGGGGTCATTAGGGCAAAGAGTAACAGTGTAAGTGACTGGTGTTGTGAGAAAAACAACAGCGACATCACAAAACATAAATGAATTAACAAGTACATGAAAGTCAGATTTTTGTGTGTGTAGTGCACAATCACACACATTATTGTATAACAGAACTCATTTCAAAGCACAATTAATGAAAATGCTATTTTTAAAAGGAGTCTGCACTTACCTTTCCAGCAGATCCATCATTTTCTCTGCACTTTTAGTTTGTATTACTAAAATGTTAATGTGCTGACTTAGGGACGTTTTCCAAGCGATGACGAATGTTCGCACAAACATGCTGCTGTGGACGCAGACGGCATGATTGACAGCATACCTGCTCTCCAAATTAACGTGCGGTGCCTCGCACTTGCAAAGTAATGACACCGTTTAACTTTCATGTTTAGACGATTATGCCACTTACGGGATGACTGTCATAAAAACAACAATCGCCCGACATTTAAAAAGCATCCCAAAATTCAACACTTTGCTCATTGACCATGGGAGAACTGGGTAAACACTCGTGAATCAATGCACCTCTTTACTGCTGCCAATTAACATATGTTGAGAGTGTTTGGACTGCATTGGAATAAAGCCAACATTCACATGCATCTAAGTGCAAATGCACACAGAAGATCCAGTTGGCCAAACAGCCTTACGATTAGCATTAAGACATAGATGTGTTCTTCTCTTAATTGCACATATTGGAGAAAAGCAAAAATAAGAAAAATGCCACCTGTGAAGGGCAAACAGTTCATAAGTAGTAGACATTTAGTATCTGTACAACGTACCATCCCCCGACAGGGATCTACATCAGAAGCGCAAACAAGGATCGCCATGTGTCTGCTGTCAGTTAGATGCCTGCTGTGGAAGAGCATTTATGTTCAGCCCCCCAAAAAACAGACGTCTTGTTTTTATTATTACTATTTATGCTGGAACATGACTAGAAATAGCATTGAGGAATAAATGCAACTGATGCCAAAACTTTATTGTTATGTATTTTTTAATGTATCACTGGAATATATCTATAAAGCATCAGAGCAATGTGGGGATTATTTATTTAAGCTGCCTGTTGTTGCTCTGCCGTGCACTGCTCCTTTGCAAACACCAGTATACGGGCTCCTGGAGCCTATATAGTATTTCACAAGCCTTGCTCTTCCTCAGCATCAGTTATTTGTGCTTAGTAACACCCTGAATCGAAAGTGTACACTCTGTACCATGGCACTAAGATTAGTGTGTAGAGGAAGTCCTGATGGCCTAGTGGTTTGGACAAGGACTTTTACTTCCTGTTAAAGTTTGCTGCTCACTTTTCTCCTGTTTTCTGTCACTGCAGTATTCAGTATCAGTTTTTAAAAAAAATGAAAACTAAAAATCTCCCTTTTTCTGTGTTGACAGAAAAAGGGAGTTTATAGCAACACAAGGCAAGAAAAACATGAAGTTGGATGCTGATACATGACATTATATCACGTATGTTGTCACTGGGGAGGATACGTTTAAATCATGACAATATAGAGGAACATATAACTTCCTCTGTGAACACATATACACAGTATGCATGTTTCGATAAGATAAAAAGCAGGCTAGCTCTCATGCACAGACTTCTGTGAAAGCTATTTTTCATCAAATACTGCTCAAAGTTTGATATCTTTTCATTCTTTGATCATTCTGGCAGAAAGAATGATCTGTTGGAATACAAACAGCTTAAATATACTCCTGTGTGTGTTAATGGCACTTTAGGAGCACAATCATCTGTCTGTGCATTTACTTATGTAAGCACTATTATATAACAAGGGCATTTAGCGTCTTCATTTACACGTGTTGCAGGAGCCATCCTCTTGCTTTTACCAGGACTGGCATTTGCTTTTTTGTTTTAATGGCATTAATGGTGTAAAAAAAAAAGGAATACCCTTATTTGTTAAAGAAGGCCAAACAGATCAAAGGGTCACATGTAATCTTATTCAAAAAGCATCGGAGCCCGAGTAGATAACACCCCACTAGTGTGTGTGGACTCGTTGCAGCCAAATGCTGATCCTGTGGACTGAGGCTACACCAAAAAAAAACATACAAATCCCATAAGCTGCTGCACAAACTGCTAAAAGCATGACAAACACAGAGGCATACCAAGGAACAAATACAAGCTGTCCAATCTCTTGTATACCTTTTAAACGTCTTCCCTACTAAATTGATCATGCATGCAAAACAATCAGTTTATGTGTCTTTATCTTTCGTGACCAAAGCTGTGTTTTTGTGTGTTTTCACTGTAGATCATGGGAGGTGTGAGTACTGTGTTAGCACAGACTAACCATTCACAGCACAGTAACTTCACCCAGGTCTCCAATTCTTCTAGACCAGAGTACAGCGATGCAGAACTCGTGCTGCTTGGTGTTGCTATGGCCATTCTGGTCCTGGCTATAGTTTTCGGTAAGCTGTGACTCTTTCGGTTCAATCAGACGACGGCTTGTATTTGAAAAGCGCTTTTACAATTGATCCAGTTTATAGTTTCGAATACAGTTTGCTTTCTTCTACACAGGAAACGTGTTGGTGATTACCGCCATCCTGCGGTTTCAGCGGCTCCAGACTGTCACCAATCTTTTCATTGCCTCATTGGCTGTTGCTGACCTCATCATGGGTGTGGTTGTGGTCCCCGTTGGCTCTATCTCCATCCTGCGGGGAGTCTGGCAGTTCGGAAATTTCATGTGTGATTTCTGGACAGCGACCGATGTGCTATGCGTGACTGCCAGCATTGAAACGCTTTGTGTGATCGCACTGGACCGCTACCTTGCCATCACCTCACCGCTCCGCTACCCAACGCTGCTCACCAGGTACAAAAGAGACGTAGCTTGGCTAGTATGTATTATGAGGTTAGATCAAGCTGCTACTGCAAATATCTCTACATTTTCAAACTTTCCAAGATGTTGCACACTTAGTTAAACCCAACCAGTGATGTCACATCAGGTGTTTTCTGTCTCCTGTTAAAGGCAAACACTGTTGACACTTGCTGTGGTACAACCAGAGGTGCAACATACTGGAAAATATGAGTCCTTTATTTAGGGCATTAGTGACAGTTTTCCTTGTAGTGTGGCTATAGCCTCCTCTCTGAAGAGTTGTTTCTATAAGACTTTAATAAAGGTTAAATAATCTAACTTTAAACCATTTAAAAAAGGAAACTCTACTTTTTGCTCACATCAAAGTCTGCTTATGGATGTTCAGGATTGCAGCTAAACACGTGAAAATATTGATGTTCCCTTTTGTACCCCTGTGCAAAGTCTGATACAGCTTGGGTTAGAGTCAGCTAGGGAGTGCAGGTTGCATTTAAGGTTGAAAATAAATCTAGAGGTGTAGAGTTTCAAAGACGTGAGCTTTCTGTACCTCTGACTTTTCGTTTGAGGCTGGACATTTGGGGTTACAACCTTCAAAGTCATATTTATTCTTGCTAATATTTATTTTTGTTCTCTTCAGTGCCGCAGGCACAGCACTTGATTTTATTGTATTTGTTACAATGACAATGAAGATATTCTGATTCTCAAATACAGTCGTGGTAAAATATAGATATAGTAACATTAAAATAATCATTAGCAGGTCTTAAAATTAGTTAAATAAAACTTTAAATGAACAACAATACATTGGACATATTACACTGTGTGACTATTTATTATACAAAATTAATGCCTGATCGCAGAAGCAGTGTGTGAATAACTGAATACTTCCTTACTGCTTCCGTTGGAATTAACAGGGTAGGTAGCAGCCAGGTGCTGCTAATCAAATGCACTTTATTAAATGTGTAAGTTCCTCAATAAAAGATGTTTTGGCAGTTTGCTGTTGGCAGTTTGCTGTTCTGGAACAGTTCCAGAACAGCAAACTGTTCTGGAACACACACCTGGAACACCTGGAACATTCAGGTGTGTGTTAACACAGTGCGAAGAAGAAAAAACATCAGCAGTGATTTTATGGACGGGGTTACAAGGCCATTTTTAAACAATTTGAAATCCATCATTCTAAACTGAGAAAAAGTATTCACGAGTGAAAAACATTCGAGACAGCTGCTAATCTTCCAATGAGTCGACTCCTCAGCAAATTCCTCCTGTCGGACCGTGCAGTGCTCAAAGAAACTGCAAAATACCCAAGAGCTACATCTCAGACTCTGCAGGCCTCAGTTAGCATGTTAAATGTTGAAGTTTGTGATGGTACAATTAAAAAAAGACTGAACAAGCATGGCTTGTTTTGGCTGAGTTGCCAGGAGAAAGCCTCTTCTCTTGAAAAAGAGCATAGCAGCACAGCTTCGGTTTGCAAAGTTGCTTTTGAACAAACCACAAGACTTCTGGAACAAAGTCCTTTGGACACATGAAACCAAAGTGGATTTTTTGGCTATATTGTACAGCGCCACATTTGGTGAAAGCCAAACACAGCATATTAACACAAGCACCTCATGCAAAATCTCAAGCCCACTTTTTGCACCTTGCAGTCAGTGAGTCGATCATGAACTTGTGTACCAAAGTATTTTAGGTCAAATTCGATCATGCAACACGACAATGATCACGAGCACAGCAGGCAATCTTCAATGACTCAAAAACAAAAGATGTTCTAACTCAGTCAGATCCAGTTACTGTCCAGACTTCTAGCTGATTGAAATTCTGTGTGTAAGAGAGCTTAAGATCTTAAGAGAGCTTTGAGTAAATGAAAACCTGCTCACACTGATGAACGGAAACACCTCTGTAAAGAAGAATGAATCAGAATTCCCCCACAATGATGTGAGAGACTGATAAAGACACACAGAGAAAGACTATTTCAAGTTATTGCTGCTCAAGGTTGTTCTGCAAGCGAATAATTCATGGGTTTTTTTTTTTTACACACTGCTTCCACATATTAGCTTTGTTTTTATTGCAGAAATAATGACACAGTGCAACATGTCATGTGTTGTTGTTCATCTCAAGTTATAGTAACCTCATTTTAAGACATGATGATAAAGACTAGACAATGTTTACAAAAATTAATCCTGATATGTAAAACCTTAGAAATTATAGATGCCGTACTTCTTTTTTCTTTTTTTTACCATTATTATATCTGACTCAAATTCATCAAATTAATACATGTATAATGTAGGTAACAGTAAAGAAGAAAAGCCATTATCTTAGTGATTAGCCATTTTAAATCTGAATGAATCAGAAGGACATATTTAGCAGAATATAGTTAACCAGACCCCAAACTTATAATTACCCACAAATACGTTACATATAAAATTTAAATGGAAGCTTAAGTAGACCACCAAACTGAAAAAGAGTGTATTTGGCATATGACATGGGGAGAATGAGAAGAATGAGGCATGTTATCTCTGCATGACGCAGTGCAGCTCATGTTACCTGCCTGAGCTAGATCCTGGGCTTAGCTGTAGTTAATTTAGAATGTAGTCGTGGCTATTATGTTGCTTTTAGAGCTCTTTTACATTTTTGGACAACCAGCATAATATTTAACTAAGAAATTATCTCTGTGTTGTCACTCACGTCTACTGTTTGCAACGTTCTTCACTTCTCTGCGCACTCTTTTGTCTCCTGCTGATAACCAGGGGTCGAGCTGTTGCAGTGGTGCTTGCAGTTTGGGTGGTGGCCTCCCTCATCTCCTTCCTACCCATACATCTGAAGATGTCGGTGTCACGTGATCCCAGAGCTCTCCAATGTCTGGAAGATGAAAACTGCTGTGAGTTCAACACGAATACGGCATACGCAGTGACTTCTTCAATTGTATCATTCTACCTGCCACTGGTGGTGATGATTTTCCTGTACACCCGCGTGTTCCAGGAGGCTCAGAAACAGCTGGAGAAGATCCGAGGAAGGGAAAGACATATGTATAACTTGCATTGCGCTTCACAGTTTGCTTATCCTGATGATAGCCCTGCATTAAATCAAAGCAGGACAGGAACTGAGGTGGGAGAAGAAGCAGGAGATGATAGTCTAAATATGCAAAACCCAAGTATAGACACTGGTAAAGAAGAAAAGGGGAAAGAGAGCAGATTGAGGACAGACAAAGGGGACGGAAAACATTCCGCCACAAAGCGTCTTAAGTTTTCTCTTAAAGAGCATAAAGCTGTAAAAACTCTGGGTATCATCATGGGAACTTTCACACTGTGTTGGCTACCATTCTTCATCCTCAACATCCTCAGAGACATACTCAGCCTGGAAAACATTGAGGTACCCTTTAGACTCCTCAATTGGCTTGGATATTCCAACTCAGCCTTCAACCCTCTCATCTACTGTCGCAGCCCCGATTTCAGGCACGCCTTCCAGGAGATACTCCGTTTGAGGAGTAAGGGAAGACAGTGGAGCATAAGGAGACTATTGGGACTATGCAGCGAGAACAGCGGTTATCCCCCACAAAGGCTGAATGGGAACTCAGCTCCTACTGATGTTACAGAACTTGACATTCAGCATTCTAGATGGAAGGGCAGTGTGGAGAGTTCAATTCAAGGCAGCTCACTGAATCTAGCTCCTCCATCTTCTTGCTCTGAGCAAGTTTTAGATGTAGCTCCAGGATCCTTGACCAACGGGCAGGCAAACCGTTCTGCCACCTGGAGCTGTAAGGACAGTCTGAGTTCAATAGCTTGACCAATTAGAGCATTAGGATTCCCATTGTGTGTGCAGTAAGCACCGATTTGTTGAAGTTAATAATGTTGGTGTTTGAGAGTTGAGTAACTCAACCTTTTGGTCTTTTATAAGGCCACATTGTCAGCATTTTTATTTATGATCCAGGGTCCGATTTTTCCTCATAATGGCGTGAATCAAGAAGGCAGCTACATGGGCAAACCATATTCAGCAGTGTCTCCTTTCAAACAGGTATGAAGTTTGTCTCGATCATGAAGGCATCATGCTGTAGCTTATTTAACAAAAAAAAGGGCAGTTTTTTGGCTCACGAGCTATAAACACAGGAAAAGTTTGCAAAGCAGCGCCTTGAAAAAAAACTCACAAAGTGACATCAAACATTATCAACTTCCTCAAATTGGAATTACTACAGGGATGATATTGGTACCAAATAAAACATGTTTTAAAAGTACTAAAATATCATGCATGCTACTTCATTCCAAAATGCTCCTCGACTAAAGGCATGAGATTACCTGTTGCTTAAAAACAGAAGAGGAGTGAGCCGTCGGCGAGAAGGTTGCTGCTTCAAAACACTGCACATTGTCAAAAAGATCATTGTCCTCATAATAAGAGTGCAGCACAGCAGCATTAGAATGTACTGGAGAGTCAGAACATTAAAGACTTAAACGTTTGGACTTTCAACTACTGTTGATCATTAACAGCCCCTGAGTTATCAGGTGGGATGAATAAGATTCGCATCAGTAGATGTACCTCTACACCTCCCAAAGCTAATATTTATTTAAGAATCAATGTCAAAATCCTACATTGCCTTGTTCTTGAGTTATCTCATTCACAAGATTTCCTGAAAACTTGACCTCTGAGGTCAAGGTCACTGAGATTCTGACTCGTTCGAGATTTTTATCAATTTGAATATCCTGCGTCGCCTCGTTCTCGAGTTATCTCCATCACAAACTTGAGTGTCTACCTTGCCCGCCCACTTGCCAGGGTTACGATAATACTCAATCAGGTTTATACAGCTGAAGGGTAAAAATGAATTTTAGAATAAGTAAAAGTGTTTTGACAGAACATAATGTGTTCTTGCAAAATACCATCAAAATACCAGATGAGGACTACCTGTCTTGAAAAGCTGCCACAGTAATGGAGCCTTTTAAGTCAAAAACGATGGTTTCTTACATTGTTCCACAAAGGATTAAATGTGAAATTTAAATAATATTTGCAGTTAAAATAAACGTTTTTTTTCTCAGAAACCAAAGTTTATGTATAATATCAAGATAAACTCTCCGTGAACCAGAACCCAACAGGACTGAGATAAGAAACTACATGTTTGCCCAGTGGCCAAAGGTTTTATTTGAAACAGGGAGTATATTTTAAGGCTCGCAGTTTGCCTGTTTTCTCCATTCCTTCTAACAAAACTCACAACTGGTCTGTAGTTATTTGGTGGTGTATAACTGTGTATCAGATAAACATGTGAGACCCAAACTTGTGACTGTCATAAGTGTCCTCCCCATGTGTTGGCTTCCTTTCATCACGTATTCCCTTAAAGTATATCCCCCACTTTGTCCCTCCACCAACAACACCATGAACCCACGCTTTCCCCCTGTCTGCTTTTGCTCTGTTATAAGTATGAAGGGTGCACTCTGTCACAAGAGCTGGGAGATCTTTTTTTATGTAGTTGGATCTGGTTCAATAACATTGTCTGTTACACTCCCTGTAAAAACATACCAATCAGGTTACACATATTTTAAGTGCTTACTTTATACATTGCTCTCAGCAGAAGCTTTGCAGAAACAAAAAAATTGTTTGGATTAGTCTTTATTTCACCATTTCCTAAATTCAAAGTGATGATAATAAATTTGTCCAAATACGAAGTAGAGCAAGTCAGACTGAAAATGATCTCTCTTGTTCATCTTTTATGTGCACAAATAATTATTTGATATGTGATTTTTTTTTTAAATACTCTTGAACAATGTCAGTTACTGTAAATATCACCTGCATGTATCTGTCTCAGTGTACAGTATGTTTACAGTATGTGAAAATGAGTATTTTTGCAATGTAAAGCTCAAAACATCCACAGTTGTTGAAATTTGGTTTACCTTTCAGGTGGGTGTTGTTTTTTGCATTGGGGTTCAAGTTCATTAAGTTATGGGAAATAAAACAGGTAGAATAACTGAAGTGTGCCTTTTGATGATAACTGAACTTACTGAAGCCGACTTGATAAATCTTACATTACACCATTAAAAAGAGTTTTAGTGTAAAATTTTATAAAAAAGAATTTCTCTGTACTTTTGAAATCACACTTTTTAACCACATACAGAAACTTAAACAAAAAAACAAACAAATAACGTACTGACTGGAAATTGCTCCTCATTTTCTGTTTTTAAAGGAACTTTTTTGTCAGTGACATGGGACAGAGGAGATCATGAATTATATCCAGTTGACAGCAGAGATGGGCAGTAACGCGTTACTTGTAACGCATTACTGTAATCCGATTACTTTTTTCAAGTAACGAGTAAAGTAAGGGATTACTATTG